ACATGATCCGTCTCATTTTGTACGTAATGTTAACAAGTTTACTAATGAATTGTTCCATGCAGACCAAGAAAAGGGCATTCTAGTTGGAAAGCAGGCCTGGAATTCACCAGCTTGCTGGGAACCACATTGCATGCTGCTTTAACAGTTACTTTGGGGCAGCACCCAGAGGCCAATCACTACTGTGCAGGGCACTACACAAAGATGGAGACATTATTCTCTACCCCCTCTATTTCATGTGCATAGCAGTTAATCCAAGGAGAGAACGACACAACGGGATGAAACGCAGCATATTCAGCGAGGCCAGAAGAAATACTTTTTCCATCCAATTCACAGCTGGCCAGTGGAGCTCACAGACACCACATGGCAAAGAGTGTAACAGGGTGCAAAAACGGGTGGAGGGCATGCATACATATTTACACGACTATGGAAAAGGAAACAAGTGCTCTTGCAAAGTAAAATCTGTAATAAGAATGAGAGGAAAACTTCAGGGGTCTGGATCCTGGTGTAACACGTCACATAACTGACTGCAGTACTTCTCACATCTTCCTCTGAAACATCTGGTATTTGCCACCACCAGCAACAGTGACTGGATTAGATGGACAGCTAGTTTTACAACCTGGCAAGTCCTTAAGAAATATGTTGTTACATAATTTATGAATTCTGATATGAAATCCTGCATCACCAACTACTTCACAGTATACAGAATTCACCACATGCTGTCAGTGCTGTGCCACATCCCTCCCAGAACAAGAGGCATGTTTATTATTAACCCTTAATGGCCATGCATTAAGGTGAAGGAATCTGAATGTCATGTACGCTACATGGCTACAGAGCTTGGCCAAACTAGAAAAATGCCTTGCAGTTGGACCAAAAGGCCTCTGCAGGGCAACAAGGAAAGCATCAAAACCACTAAACCAGGACCTAGGGACAGAGATGACAGAACAGCCATTTAGAAGGAGAGACTCAACAACAGGAAGTATTTGACAGGAGAGAGAGAAAGATGATGCACAGACTTTTGAAGCAGTAAGCATGATTTTATTGCAGGAGCAGCCAACATCAAGACCAGCCGACCTGGAGCAGAGGAAAAGTGCCTCTGTTATTTAGCAGATGAACCACGACCTGCTGGAGGAGAATCCTGAATGCTCATAGGAGGTATCTGCCCCACACCCACAGACGTCTTTGGAGTCGTTACAAACCTGAGGCAGGGAAACGCATATATATGCGTTTATTACTTTATGCAGATCATTATTTCTCCAGCTACCCAAATAATGTCATTTCAGATTCCTGTGCAAAATCTATTTGTTTTTACCTATCCCAGGCCATAGGAATGTGGGTCCCAGACAAAGGAACTGCATTTTAAGTACGGGTCTAGGAACCCCAAGCCACAGGTAGGGCTTGAATACTGTTCAGACTCCACAAACTCAAAGCACACCCTGCTCTTCTTCACTGCACTCATGAAGGGAGCATTGATTTAAACAAACCAACCAACCACGAGTTTTTCCTTCCAGATCAATCTCTTAAAGCAGCTGTTAGTCATCTCTCATCCCATGTCCCTCAGCTCCTCCCTACACAGTGCTGGCCATGCTAATATTTTTACCAAAAAAACAATAAATGCATTCAGAATTCCCTTTAACAGTCAGACACCTGCAGACCCCAAACATGGCAGGGGGAGGGGGAAAGACATCTAGCCACCTTCAAACCTTGTGTGAAAGTTCACTAGAGAAGAATTCATCATATTCAAAAGCAAAAAACTGACACTGGACAAAAGCATCTACTGTCCCAGAACAAGCCCAGCAAGAGCCTAAAGCTTAGAATCGATAAGGGTCTAATATATTTTTTGAGTTTTGTTTAGATTAAAGTTACACAAGCAACTTTGTGGGTTAATCAAACGGTGGGCTGCCTTTTATACTGCTAATATGTAAACCAGCCAGAAAATGTGTTAACCAAACTGGCTGGAGAAACCCCAGAGGAAGCACGCTTCTGTTATTCACATCCGTTCTCAGTTAGCCTGCAGTTACCTTGACTGTGAGCTGTGCCAGGCGACCGGACTGAAAGCTTTTGACCAGAGCTCTCATGCTGTCAATGGCCTTGGGGATCTCAGCAGGGGTTGGCGGAACCAGCTCAACTCTGGCATAATACCAAAATGTGGCCAAACGAGGCCTCGAATAAGTCACAGCAGCTGGAAAAGAAAAATACTAAGATGAACTCACCAGAGACTGAAAGAAACAGATGTGTGGGCTGGACACAAGTGTTTATTTGTGTGTTAGCATTCACCTACTGCATATGCTACGCGTGTGCCCTGGCCTGCCTTTTTTTAGTTTAAGAACACTTTACTAACACAGAATGCAGCACTAAAGATTCATATATGTCTACGTCATCAAGAAGTTCAGCCATTCAGGAAGCCTATATGAAGAACCCATTATGCTAAGACTTCAGCCACCATCTAGCTTCATTTGCTGGTTTGCAAACTGTCAACTCCATTAGCTGAAGGTTACCAAACTACCTGATAACAGTTAGTATTAAAAGGGAAGGAGACAAAATATTAAGTGTCCTTTACCAGACAGCACAACTGTGAACTTTGAATGGAGGGAAGAGTCCTAGTGGGAAGGAGAAGACAGACAACCAAAAACCCACCAACAAAAACTAAAACAAAACGACAAATAATCAGCTCTTACAGCTCCAAAGGAAGTCAGGCCTCCACGTGACCAGCATAAATCTTTAGCTGTTAGACTTGGCCTAGCTAAACCACTGCCACAACCTGTTGAGATACTACCACACCAAGGAAAAGTATAAATAGTAAGACTGTGCCCCCCCACCAGCAGCAGAAATGGTCCCGTGAAACATTAGGGTCAAGAATGCAAACAAACAGAAAAGCCCATCACAACAACTCTGCCCTACGCTGCATCAGAGACACTGCCCCTACACACACTACTGCCTCCAATACATCATTCTCTACCTAACGCAAAAACTATGAACAAGCTTCAGCTTCTGCGGTCAAATATCAGTCTCTGTGAACACGAGAGATTGAAACCAGGAGAAAATTCCTGCACCGTGTTGATTAACCGAATCTCCACCACAACAGGAGCGAGTCATCGTTGGAGAAAGTGGATTTCATCTTCTGCTCCGTTTGGCTTTGGAATTACTGGCCCTAAGTTTGCTGTCAGCAGGTATCTCAACTAAACAAGGTCACCTGCCTGCATCTGGACACACACACTGCTAAGTGAGACAGGAATGACGCGATCCCCTCCCCACCGCGACAACCCCGGCTTCCGCACCACGCACGATCCATCCGCTCCAGCTCTTCGGCCCGCTGCACAAAGGGAATCCCGAGTCGCCGGTTGTCCACGGAAAGCCCTTCCGCCAAGTCCCACAAAGTTAGACTTTGGGACAGTTAACCCCCAGCTGCTCCAGTTTTTCAGGTACCATTAGCCCAACCCCACGCCTGTAGCAGTCAGAGAGACAGATGCCTTCAAACCATCTGACCGGCTCCACGTACAGCCCAGACCTGCACTCTTCCAACGAGGCTGCCTGGTGGGACGACACTCCTCCAAGAGAGCAGCTAAGGGCAACGGCACACCATGCGGTGAGCTCCCACACCACCAACACCCGAAGGATCTCAGCCGTCGGAGCTGCAGACGCACGCCGGCTCATCTCCACTTGAAACACTTCGCTCTAGCGCAAGCGAGAGGCTTCCCCGCCGGGGCAGGGCGAGCGCTGAGGAATGAGACAGGGCCCCTCGCAGCTGGAAGCGTCCCTAGGGTGACCGGTGCCGAGCGCCGGGGGAAGATGCGGTGCGTTGGCGCAGACACCCATGTCGGCGCAGGCGGACAGACTGACGGATCTCACCAGAGCCTGCGGCCGGTCCAGAAACAGCAAGAGCGGGCACGAGTCCCCGCACATATCCCGCCTGCTTTCCCACGCCCCCACCCCGGCCCGGGCGGACTCGCCCGACAGCCGAGGAGCCCACCACTTCCCCCCGCACCGCCACGGGGGACGCCGCAGAGGGCGGGGGTGGGCGCCCCGCGAGCTCAGGCCCCGTAGAGACGAGCAGGCAGGGGCCGGGCCGTGCGGCTCGCCCGGACTCGGCTAGACACGGGCGGAGCCGGTTGGGCGGGGATAGGCCACAGCCACAGGCTAGGCCTGGGCCTGGGCCGCGGGCAGGCGGACGCTCACCGCTGACGAGCTTCGGCCCGGTGACAGTGGCACGCTGGATCAGGCTCTTCACCGCTTGGGCCATGGCGGAAACCGAAGAGCAGCGACCGGCGAGCGCGAGCCTGAAAGTCACCTCACGAAGGACCCCAAAGCCAGGCTGCCCGCGCGCCTGACCCAGCCGGCAATCTGATCAGGCGTCTGACTCCGGCACCTATGCGCCGCTAAGGGATGCGCCTGCGCACGCACACCGTGCCGACGGAATCCAAGCGGCCCCTGGCGCGCACGCGCACAAACCCGCCCCGGCTCGGCACGTGGGAGGGGCAAGCCGGGCGGAGCGGCGCATGCGCGCTGAGCGGTTTAGCGGCGGCGGGCTGGGCAGCCCCGGTCTCGAGCGCGCGAGCAGACCGCGTCCCACTTAGTGCGGAGAGCAGGGGCCTGCTCCTTTGCCCAGGCTGGAGCATGCGCCCAGCAGCGGGCGCCTTAGAAGTGCGGGCAGGAACCGCGGCGCCTGTACCCACCCCTGCCTGGGCCGAGCCTGGCTCCCGTGGGCACTCCGAGCCCCTTCCAGGACCAACGAAGGCTTATTCAGAAACTCAGAGTTCCCACCGAGGGACGTGTCAGGAGCGCTGGGGTGGTCAAGTCCCTGGGGCAGCCTAGGGCAGAGACCCTTCTGCCGCCACCCCAGTAGGCCAGGCCAGGCCAGGCCCCAGGCGCTTCATGAAGCAGCCCTCCCCCCGGCTCGCCCCCCGCCCTGCTACGGATACTACTACCGTGAGCTTCGTTGCAGCATCTGGCTCTCCCTCCCTGCAGCCAGCCCTACAGCCCTGGAGCACGAGCTCAAACTTTGTTTTCAGTGCGGCTCAGTGGCTCTATCTGGTGCTGACCGACCACTATGTACAGACAAAACTTAAGACAACCTCTTCCATCCTTCCAAACATGTACCGTCGCTGTTATGGACACAAAGTCATTTTGTTTTCACATTATACATCGTACAATAGCATTACATAGTTTAAGTCTGAAGCCAAAGCAGTAGTTGCAGAGAGAGAGTTCCAGGAAAGGGCTTTTCTGGCAGTGTCCAAGCCCCTGACGTATGCAGACGGCCGTCATTAAAACTGGAAACGATAAAGAATGAGCCCTACAAGGAAAATAACCAGCGGGGCAAACAGAGAAGAGGCTGTAGGATTCCTAGGCTGAGAAGCTGTAGTGCAGTCAAGGTTGTAATATTAACTCTAACTCTCACAGCAAATACTAAAATGGGGATAACAAGAAGGGCCCTAAGCTAGAGGGACCCTAGGCCTGGTGGCAATGCACTAATTGCAGTCTTGGTTAAAGAGTACTGTAGTTCAGACGCACATTCTCTGTTGCCCTGCTTCCCCTCTCTGCAATGCATTTCTTCCTCGAGAGCCAACTACTGTTCATCGGTGCAAAGGTACTTCTGGTTTGTTCAGTTCACAGTGTATCCTCCAGCTGCTCCTTCTGCTTTTTCCTCTCTGCAAGCCATCGCTGGATCTTCTCTTTAAGTTCTGTGTTTGGTCTGATCTGGTCCATGGTGAGGGGACTCCGATTAAAAGGATCTGTCTGGTCACTGAGAAAGAAAGAGAATGTGTATGTCAAGGAGATTAAGTCGCTGCCAGGTCTGATAGAATCAAACGTTATGAAACCAAGGAATTGGGACAGAGGCAGGCAAAACTCTTCCTTTAAACGAGTCACACATGCCTACAGGACACCAATGCCACTAGGTGCAAATCACTGTTGGAGATTCAGAACAGCACACTTTAGATATTACAACCATCTTATATGTTCACGCTTTAAATGGCAGCAGTTTCCAACCTGAGGTCATGACCCAAATGAGGGTTGCAAGGGCAATGCCAGCAGCGCCACACACAAAGGACACACCACGCTGCATGCCAGAAGCTCCCCCACCCCGCCTCCGGGCCCCCGCTGCCCCACTCTGCTCCCAGCAGCGGGTTGCAGCCAAAAAAAGGTTAGGAATTGCTGCTTAAAAAAAAAATCAGGAGATCTCACCAGTTTATCACCTCTGTATTTCCCTCCCACCCTGAAACGGCCACTTCCAAATACAGTATCACTAAGCTCCTAGACTCTGGACCAATCTTAGGAAATTTGGGAAAGGAGGAGAGTGGGTACATATACATACTATGCCTAAAAGCTTGAAGGCAAAAGGCACTTATCAAACAAAATCAAGGCTTCAATGAGCAAGTAACCGCTCAGACCCAAGCAACCCTGTTTTGAGTACCTGAGCAGATGCCTAGCTATCGTTGATCTATCCACGGTGACTCGGGAAGATGGCAGGACCACAGGGTCAGACATTAAGGTGCTCATGATGGGATCCAAGAATTCATCACATGCATCTGCATACGTCTCCTCTTCTTGCTGTTGACGGTCTGCAAGAGACTGGTAGATACGTGCACAGCTTTTAACGCAAGACCTTGTGACTCAGCTCCCCCTTCTCCTCTACAGGAGTCTGACACACTCAGCTGAACAGCATAAGGCAAAGTGCATGCACGAGCATCCGGAGGTTCTATCAAACCTTTTAGGTTTGTATCCAGAGCTCAGATACCAGGATGGCTAACAAATCACAGGAACTCTAAACAAATCCAGAACAAATGCTCACAGCTCTGTCACGCTCAAGGAACAAAACACCAACGTGGCTTCTGCAAGCCCTCACAGTCAAATGGTTCCATAATTGGCACAGTTATACAGCTGTTACTGCATCACCAGGATGTAAGCCTATTCCTGGTTTCAGACCTGACAACTGTAGCAAGACTATACCTTGCCCCTGGGAAGAGATGGCTCAGCTTTCCTTTACAGTATAAAAGTCTCTGTGGCAAAAATGCGTGCAAGGCAATTGCAGCTTTTGGAGGACAGTATTGAGTTTAACACCTATTCTCTCTCTAACCACATGATATCTATGCACAAGCCAGCATGCTTCTTTGAGAAAAAGGACAAAGTTATCCTGGAAGAGCTGTAACTTGGTGCAATGCACTGGGATTCAAGTCCTTCAACTGCAATAAGGAGGGCACCCCTGGCCCCACTTCAGATACTCCTGGACAGATTTGCCTATCTATTCGCCCTCTCTCACTGGTAGCAATAAGTGTTTCATTTTCATTTCAGTAGGCTCTTTCACTGTGATAGGTGTTTATCAGCAAATTTTGTGCTTCCTCCTTTCAGTTACATAGGTGTGCTTAAAGACAGCCCGATGGGTGTGGTCAAGGACTTTTCTAAGGAAGTATCAACTGAGATCTGTGCTTTATGGAAGCATTCTTTCTGTGTATGGCTGAGTATAACAGGTGAAAGGAACCCCCAGAGCAACAGCATTACATTAGCAGAGTGCTGCAGTAGCCTCTGGATGAAATAAAGGAGCCAAAGGCTTCCTCCTTTTCCCCCTTCCTGCTCACCTTTATCCGCTCAGCCAGGTTACTGAATGCCACTATCATGTTACCAGGCTTATTGATCTTCTTCAGGACTCTGACTGTCTGGGCAAAAAGGGTTGGCGAATAGGAGCGTCCATCCTTGGGCACTGTGGCACAGAAGTTCTCTTCATCACTGAACCGCGTTTGCAAAAAGAAAGAGACCATAAGTGCTTACATTTGTGAAAAGAGGCAGTCTGCCAGGCTGCAGAGCATCAGCCTACACAGCACATGCACTGCTGCTTCAGCAAAGCATGTGGCACATGGCAAGGGGAAGGAGGAGACACTTCACCCTCCCTGGTGAGCAGCAGCTTCTTCCCACTCTTCGCCACGCTGGATTACAGACACAAACTACAGCTCCATTGCTACTTACAGCGTTGTAGCTGCCCTGACCGGCATGGATGAGTTTTATCCCTGCGGTCTTTAAAGCCGTTACGAAACATGTTATAAGCTAACAGGGCCAGACTGCAGCTTGGCCAGGGAAACCGTGACAGAACTCTGCTAGTCACGACCATGTCCGCACAGCATTGTTACTATCGGAATCCTATTCCCAGTGTGGATGGAGCTGCGCACATCACATAAAATCGGAGTGCTCCGACCAAACTTCCTAGAGATACGCCTGCTAGAATTAATACACACACGCTTCCATGACTTGCAATCTCTCCTTAAAGCCTTAAGCATTTAATTGCTCAGATGAAGAGTGGTGACACTGACAACAAAATTAGAAAAACCAGAAAGTGATTTCTGGCTGGATTGCACTGGCCACAGTGAGGCAAAAAACAGTAGCTAGTCTGCAGTTCCCCTTACCAGATCCCTAAAAAGCATCTCCTCTGCCACCCCAGCAGTGTGAACCATTTGTACAAACAAGGGTCCTTCTTCCCCAGGACAGTTGTTGCTGCCTGGCTGCTCTGTCACGTACCCCAGGTTTAGGTAGATGGTGCAGATGTCAGAGACCAGCTGCTGCGGTTTGAAGTCAAACTCGCTGAAATCCTTGACTTTGAGGGCTCCCATTTTAGGGCCAACGAGGTGCTGCAGGAAGTAGTTCAGCATGGAGATGATGCGCTCAGCAAGAAACGGATGCACAAACAGGGACTTAATTTCTGGGGAAAAAAAAGGAACGGATAAATGAAAACACCAGTTTCCTAAGTATCAAAGTAACTCAAGCCCTCCACACCAGCCCTTCAACTAGGCACAGCTGCCCAGCCAACGGGATCTGCTGTCCTTACCACACGTCAGGAAGGCCAAGGTTCCAATAGTTTCATTGGACATGATGTTGTGGAAGCGAGCCAGCTGACCGAACATCTGCAGGCTGGATTCCTTCTCATGGCGTGCCTCTTGGGACAGGTTGTCCCACTCTCCACGGTCCTTCTCTATCTGCTGAATTTTTATCTTACTCAGGTACTGGAATGAGACAGCATGGGGGTGGCAAGGGAGCAAGAGTCAGCATCATAAGCTTGAAATGCTTAGAATGGTTTTGTCACTGTAGGGTGGGAAATTATTCCATGCATTTGGTGGTCCCAAAAGGTGCAAGTCAGAAAACACTGAAAAAGGCCCTCTTGTTAGCAGCATCAGCAGAGAAGCATCAGTAAAATCACAGAAGCTGTACACTTCTTTTCTACCTTGAGAGTAGGCTGATGGCTTTGGTAGGGAGATCTGGGGAAAGCCAGAACTGCTAAGGCCTATGGTGAATCAGAGTTAAGAGAGGCCACAAATGGATCATCTAGTCCAATCCCTGGTCCTTAAGTCATCCAATAGTCTCACTGTCTCTTCTTGAAAACTCCCAGTGAAGGAGATAGCACAACCTCCCCGGGGAACATGCTCCAGTGCCCTATGGCTCTCCATCTCCCCTTAGCTCTCCCATTTCCCTAACTAAACACACTTATGTAGACGGAAGATGAACAGGATTGCCTGCCACTGATGCCTTCAGCCTGGCCTCTTTTACCAGCACCAATTTTATAAATAAACCAAAACCCAGAAAGAAACTAGTTATCTATCAAAGTCAGCTGTAGCTCTGGGCTCTAGACTCATGAGAACTCAGTTTTCAGACCAGGCTTCTCCTTTGCCAGGTCATCAAAAGCTCATATAAGACTGGGAGCAGGAGATGATGCTGAAGGTTTCAAGGCAGCGGGGACAGATTGAAGAGTAAATTTAGTTCAACCCAACTCAGAGAAAGATCAACAACTGCTGGGGCCTCAGAAAGGAAAGGGGAAGACAGGCTGACCAACCAGGAGGCGTGTGAAGGAGGACGGAGAAAACGGCGAAGCAGATCAGCCAGCAAGTTCCTGGCTTGGAGTTAAGCACGCATAACAGATAGCAGCATGGAAGTGGACATTTCTTTGCAGTAGTGGATTTGGCCGCACTCTCAGTGCTGTATTGGACTCCCCAGCAGAGTGCCAAACACCATCTGTTCTGCCTTGGTGCCATTCCCACAGGGAGGCATCCCGGAAAAGTGCCAGGAACTCATTCTCTCCAAGTGTACGCGGCCTTATATCTTAATAAACAAAACACCAAGCAGTCATTTAAACCACACACAACACTGGGAAGGGACCATAAGCATTGAAGCAGGTGGGTTGCAGTTCAGCTGCCAGTCTGATCCAAGAGTCCTCGGGCACTCGCTTCCACCACGGGCACAGCACAGCTCTTCAAACAAAGAGCCCTTTTTATAGCAGCAACAAGCAGCTTCAAGAACTGCTCTGAGAAAATAATCACACACTGGGGACAGAAGAGTTCAGCCGAGTCTGATGCCTTGTAAACCCAAAGGACAAGACTGTCTGGAGACAAGAGCACCTCTGTTAGGATAGCAAAACATTTGCAAAAGGCTGGAGAGATTTGGTAATCAAAAACTGCAGAAGTCACTCAGGCTAGGGACTGTTCAGATAAGCAGCATGAAGACTTCCTCGTAACCGTGCCAATGTATTTCAGTCCTGACCTGAAAAACCTTCCTTTGTTTTGGCTTCCCCTCTCTCAGCCCTCAAACAACCTATCCCACTCCTGGTCCGTAAGAGCTTTGGATGTTCTGCCTCTGGGCCCCAGCACAGTTCTGCCTCTGGCCATTGCAGCCTTATGTCTCTCCTGGGCAAGTCTCAGTCGAGCTGATCCCCATCCCCTTGCCTGGGGAGCACCTGAAGTGGATAGTGATCATCAGGAACGGGGACAAGCCTTTGTTTTTTTTTTTTTTTTTACTCATGATCTGGACCTAGCATCTTCCTCAGGTAACTTAAACACAGAAGCTGTGCTTGCTTCCTGGCCCTGGCCAGCACACTTTCCCCACCTACCTGTATGGCTTCATCCAAGAGGAAAATGGCATCGTTCATGAGCAGGTTAAGGAAACGTAGGAAGAGAGGGGGGTTCATGGCCTCCAGGTTTTCTGAAGCATAGTCAGCCAGAGCCTACAAATCACACAGAAATGACACGTTAATGCTCTGCTACAGCTTAGACCTAATGTTGCATTTTAACAACAAAACTCTATAAACAAAAAAGAACCACTGACATGCTACTGAAAGTGTCTTTTGCCTTACCTTTATGCTTTGCCGGTATGAATCTGTCCCCCACATGTACTTGAGGATAGGATACATGGGTCGACGATAGTTAAACTTCTGCTCAAACTGATGAGGATCCCCTGAACACGAGCAAGCAAGAAACGAGGTTTCAGCTCAGCAGTAGGCACAGGCACTCTGCATGTAAGCTCGTTCAAAGTTCCCAACAAGCACTGTGCTGGGGGTCAGCTACACACGTGCTCGTTGCATTGCAAAAAACTCAAAAGCTCGCTTTCCTGTGCCCCCTGCTCGAAGCACCGCTCTCACAGCAGGCACCTCTAATAAAAGGCAACAGGGAATGCTGCTTTCAAAAATAAACTTGCCCTTCCTGCCAGACTCCTTGTTACCAGAGCTCTCCTTGCTATGTAGCAACAAGACTCTATGCCTGGGGGTTCTGGCATGCAGAAGCTCTACATGAATTCAGAGAATCCTACCCAGCTAGGACCATCGATTTGCACTAAGCAACACTCAGGGTCCCCAGCTTGGCTCAGTCTGGGAAAGATGATGGGACCCAGCAATATCAGACGCCCTTCACTTTTTTTTTTTTTTTTTTAAATTAAGAGAGAAGATAATTGTCCTAACTCTCAGGCCTTTTTCCTGCACAGAAACAGGCATGAGACCAATAACTGCTTTTCAGAGGTAAAACTAGTAAAAACAGAATCCATAGAGTTGATATCAGTCACCATGTCCACGTATGCAAAGGCTAAAAGGATCACAATAAGTTCTCCTTGTCTGTTTTGTTTTATTGTCAGAGAGGTTTTTGCTCCATTGTCCCTTGAAACAAGCATCCCAGTTAATAACAGCATCTTGGGACTTCACTCTATTTGCATCGCTGAAACCATTTCCATGGCAGAGACTTGCTACACAACAGGCACTGAATGTGTCCTCATGCCACTGGGCTAAAGCACACAGGTCTAACTCCAAATAGCTCGAGCCTGTCGCAGCAAAGGTGTTCCTTAACTTGACTGTGAGCTGAATTACTGGTTGCACTGCAAACAGTGCTGATGCAGTCTACTGAGCAGCTCAATATTCCTGTGATGGGGACTCAAAGACAATAAAAGGGTAATGCCAGTTTATTTAACTGGTGTGCCTGGGCCCGCCAAATGGCACGAGCACCTGGGGACAGGAGAAAGCAGGGCCTCAAGACAAATGTGTCTGGGAGGAGACTCTGCAGGGGTGAAAAACAATGGAAGGCCCGAGGACTGAATTGTGCTGGTGCTTCCCCACCGACCTGTCTCCTCTTGTGCTCCGAGGCTTCGAGCACACTCCTGCTGAAGCCCGCGGGGACTGCCAGGGAAGCAGGATAGGTCCTATAGGAGAGACAGGAACTGGCGGACAAACCTAGGTGGACCATGACAGGCAGCCCACCAGAGCACCTATGTTCCACACGTTTCAGTGTGGCATGACGAAGAAATCTGAAGGAGCAGCATTTTTGTTAACGTGTTAACCAGTCTTGAGACCAAAGCACCTCCTAAACCCAAGAGAGATCTTACAGATGCTTCTCAGGGTTAGAAGAAACCTTCTTCTCCTTCCCTGTTTACCTGTAAATTCAATATCCACAAAAACCTTGATAAGTGCCTCAGCAAGGTGGGCAGCATGATAGTAAGAGCAGAACACTCGCTTCCGATGGAACACGCTGGAGACGAGGGGGTTTTGCGTCTGATCTAAGTGAGGCATCACTGCTTCCAACACCTCGGCCAGCTTGGCTCGCAAGTGAGGGTTCTTCATCCTGAAAGAGCAATAGGCCCGACGTGGACAAGGGGGAAGCCCCTCTGACCAAAGAAAACCCATCCACACGGTCAGGACTGGCTAACTGCATTATTACTGTTTTTCATGCTCCTGGCTTACAGCACCTGACCTAGCACGTAGACTCTGAGCAAGAAGCCTCATTGTTGAGTACCTGCTGCTTCCACCGACTCAAACTAAAATTGCATGCATTTATTTCTGAAAAATCTGTCTGCAAGAGCCCTGCCATGAGTCATAATGCTCTTTACCTACAGCTGAATGGCACTAAGGTGCAAACTTACTTCTTGTCTTTTAAAGAAATGTCAAATACGACTTGTTTCTGACTCCTATAAGCCCTTTGGCCCCATCTTGTTGTTCCCCAGCACTCCCTTACAAGGGCTTTCAAGAAGAACTTTTGGGGCACAGCTCAAGAACCAAAAGCAGTGCTAACTACAACCAGATTCCACTGCACATATGCTTAAAGCATCACAGTAGGCTGGTAGAAAAAGAGAGACACTATTCTTGTGCACTTTTCAAGCAGATACAGATCTCATCTGTTCCGCACAGGTACACTGCTGTTTCTGCAGTGGTGACCAAGCAGGCTCCCCTCTTCATCCCCCACCACTCTTCCTTGCAACAGGAAATCCCATGACAATTCCTCTCTTATCACAGCCATTAAAACATGGTGGTAACCGTTACTTTTTAAGAAGGCATTTCAGCTTCCTTCTGCAGGGGCGCTACACAATAGACCACTGAACAACATTTATTGGAAATGCAATTTTAAGGCATTCCAGTGTTCCTCCAAAAGCATTAACATCCAAATCTTACTGATTCCTCGCTCCCCACTGCCATAATTTGGCCTTAACAAGGAACTAGCTACAGAAATTCCCATTTGTGCGTTGCATGAAGTCTACGTTCTCTGGGGCAAAGTCCATTGCCTATTATGCCTCCCGTGTGTGGCATTCCTGGCTACCCCTGGCTGGATCAGCTGAGTTATTAATGTTTAACTCAAACCTCAAGACACCCCTGATGGAGAAACAAACAAGCAAAACATCTCTAAATGCTTTAGAGATATGTGCGCAAGGCTGGAATCATATTTACCTCTCTACATCACCCATGAAAACTGTAACAAAGTGAAGGACATGTTCCAGGGAATCAGCAGAAGTCTCCAAAATATCATCGGCAAAACGCCGCAAGAAAATGAAGAAGTCACCCAAATTATCAGCAAAGAATTCTGTGAACAGAAGCCATGCAAATTAGCACCTTCTCAGGAAGTTTCTCCAGTTCTTGTTTTTTATCCATCCCTGTAAGACTCCCAGTGCTTCAAATGGTGATTAAAAGTAACATGACTGTTTAATGCTAGTGCCAGCATTGCCTCTAGCACATCCTATTCTTAGACCTAACAGCTTGCATTTATATAGAAGTACAACCCTGAAGGATCCTCACGCTAATTTAATTTACCCTAAACTGGATTCACTGCACCTTGTCACAGAAATGAAGTCACCTGTGGGTTAAAACATGGCTACTGTCTAACAGTGTATAATATCACCAAACACCATAACAAAAGTAAAGTAAAATTCACATCCAAACCCAGAGAAACTATAGACAGGCAGTGTAACCACCCAAGTTGGAATCTGGCAAGGCTTTGCACTGAGATTTTCAAACACAACACGATATCAAGATTGCGTCATCCGACAGGCAGTTCTTTAGGGGGTACAGCAGCCCCTATCCAACTGGTGTACTGGTTTGGCGGGGACACAGAAAAATGCCCCTACTGAATCACCAACACCCAAGGACACAAAGAATTTCCTTGACCCATTCCTGTGTCAGCACTCATCTGGTCCACAATCTGCTTAGCTCACCTGTTATGCCGAGAGTCAAAAATTTATGCTCTCTCATATGGTTATGCTTTTGCAGTCTTAGGGCACTACTTCATACTATTTTTGCATAGATTCTACCGCTCTGGCTGTATGAAGTGCAGGTGCTTTGCAATGCTTTAGGTAACAGCACATAAATCTGCAACAATTATACAATATAAAGGATAAAGCTTAAATTTATTTTTAGGATGAGAAACTGATCTCGAGTGCTTAGGGCCTCGTCCCTTCAAAGATATGCCTACCTTAACAGAAACATTGATCCTAAGCAACACATTTACCTGGTACATAAGCCAATGCACTGCGTTCCACCCCCGGCAATGGGAATGTCAGGTCTACTGGCTCAGTCCCTTGGTTTCCTACAGCCAGCTGGACCAAGAGAACTGCCATGGACACCTGCAAATTCAGGCAGTTCTGCAGCATCTGTGGCTCTGTCATAGCTGTTTTGGTAGAGAGATAGATGGTCATCAGACGTTCAAACTGCTCCCGGAGACTGTCAGCTGCAGGGCTGGAAGTTTGCTGAGCCTCTCGCCAGGCCAGCTGCAGGCGGTGAAGGCTTTGGTTTATCTTTACCATCTGGTCATGCAGCCTGCCCAATGAAGAAGGAGACAAATACATCAGAGGGGCTGAAAACACGTTTAGTGCAGACTGTCCACACAATTCAGATATTAGCATCCACTTCCATCCTGCTCATAAACACTGGACTTGTCCAGCTGACCAAAGCAGCTGAGAGGGCAGAGAAAAGCAAGACACGGAATAAGCAGAAGGGAGGCTGTGACTGAATGTTATCTGAGCCCACACTGTCCTCCATCCCCCCCCCCATGAATAATCCCTTTGACAGTCAGCAGAATGAAACCTTATGAGAATACTGCAGTGAGGTACTGGGAAGGGAGCAAAGCTAAACGAAGAATCTTTTACAAAATTGTGCAAAATGAGAAATCAGGTGACTCCCCTCCCCCAACCACTAACTGCTTAGGATACACATAGCACAGTAGTATAGAGGGCTGGCTTATCTAAATCCTGTTAGAGTGCCCAGGTCAGCGGTTCTGCATGCAACACGGAAGTGTCTGTTAAGTGACATTTCCAGTTTCCCAGCAACAAGGCACTTGCATAACTTTTTCATCAATTTCTCTATTTAGATAATAAACCAAGCAGAAGGTGACTATGCCTGGATCAGTTGTGACCTCACAGTATCCAGGCAACCGTTTTGCAGTGGGAGGCAAGGGAATGTCATGCTTTAATGTCCAGCAGATGACTTCCTGAGAAAAACAGCTGGCTGCCTTTTCATTCTGCAAAAAATAAAACCCACTAACTGTGACAGTTCAGACATTTTACAGTGCATGTATCCAGTCACAGAGCAGCACTCATCAGCCCAGGGGCAGGAGAAGGACACAGGGCTGTTCTCTTTGAGAAAAGATCAGCAGCTGAATGATCAAAGCTGACCCAGAAGTCCAGCTATTCAGCAGGCTCCAGGAAACGTTTGGTTCATGGGACTGTTGGCTTCTATTGTGGGCACAAATGAAATAATGCCCTTGCTGAAATTTCATCTTCAGCCTAGAGCTCAAGTGTCACAAGCAGAGTCAGACAGACATAATGAACAGTGCTGGACCACTCAGATACTGAGGGATGGTTAGGTATCCCTGACCACTGAACCTTTTTCTAACAGTAAACGGAGGTGAAATGGCACTGGATGCAACCCCTCCATTATTATTTTAGCTTCTGTCTCACTTGGGAATGCTGGACATTATCTCAGCCTGCTGCACGCTGCAGAAACCTATCTGCGATGTGTCTGAAGAGACAAAGGTCTGTCTGACCCCTTATCTCATGTCAGCTCTTCACAATGACTTTGAACTGGACTCCCCAAGCTCACAGAGGAACCACCTGTGAAATCCTAGGTGGAGGGTGTACTGTGTCAGGACTAGATTCTCTGTCACCAGATTGTAGCTGTGGGCGAACTCTGGCTCCTGCTCTGTCACCGCTGGGATGAAACAGGTTTCTTTTTCCAAACCTAAAAGGAAGTTAAAAGCAACAGTGAATTAGGCCAAACGCCACTTGGTCTGGAAAGGGAGACTCGACATCACTGAAAAACGTTTAATGGCTCCCAGGAGCTAATGAGCAACACAAACTTCCCACAGCTTCTCCTTTGCTCCTGTCCCACTGCTCACTGAATCTCTTGCTCCTCCTTTGAGTGAGCTAAGGTGTAGCATTAGGGCAGAGGGCACAGGAGCCCAAGTGGACTCGGTTGGTATGGTATTAGCTCCCCCAGACTTCCTGCATACCTTTCATATGCACATTCTTACTCCTCCTTTCCTCTTCATTCAGCTCCTTCAGGGCACAGTAGGTAGGATTAAAGGTAAGAAGCTTGGGAGATTTGGGTTTGCAGAATGGCTGGCACAACTTTAGCAGGGCAGCACCCAGATTCAGAAAGAAGGCATCCGAGGCATACATCTGGAAGAAGATCTCTGGCATCTGGTTAGCCCAGATTTTTGTACGGCCGGCATTAGCATGGAGGCAATTTCCCAGCCAGGAGAGAATCCTGTGTTTTGTTTCTGGAGACAATTGCAACAGGTTCTTCAGCATCTGGTAGATCTTCTCATGGAACTGAGCCATAAACTGTTACAAGAAACAGTTTACAGTTGAAGTAGTCTTTGAAAAGCCCCCACTTTGCATAGTCAATCATTTTAAAACAGCATCTCTCTCCAAAAACGGTCTGACTCCTAGCTCCCCCTCTGTTAAAGGCAGGATTGCTAAGAGAACCAAATAATTTGCTTTAGCCATAAGAAAACCTGGAACCTTCATTAGTTCCTTACCACAGAAAAACAGATGATGAACAGCACAATACTGAAACTAACACCAAAAGGTGAGAGGGGCCCTTTAAGAAGCATAACAAGGAGTGAAGCGATATAACCAATTGTTTCTGCATGGAACAAAACCAAATGTCTTTGCCGATTACTGAAAAGAAGGATGATCTTCAAGTGAAAGCATATCTCTGGGAGGCAAGACAGCTGGATTACGCTTCAGGCTCTGCCAGAGACTCTCTGGGGAACCTCTGTAACTCAGAGCTAAAGTCAGCAAGTCTTGCATTAAAACAGGTCACGTGCACTTCCACAACACCTTTCAACTAACAGTTCTGAAGCGTTTTACCAGTATTAACAGCACTGAGACTCATAACCCCTGGTTATGTAGTTAGCAACACTGTCATGCTACAGACTGCAACACAGCAACATGGCGTTTTCTGCTGTCACCCTTTCACAGGCTTCTGTTCCTTAGAAACATGAAGGCACAGAGTCATGGGAAAGTGCTCCTGATGCACGTTAGCCCTACCTGATGGATGTTAGACTCTTGCACTTTAATCTCTTGCGGACTGGATCGTGATGGATTCAGAAAGTAACCGTGATTCTCCACTACACCAGGGGTCTTTAGCAGGCAGGAGATGCTCAAGATGGCTCCTAGCAGGGTCTTCTGGTACATCTGTCCATTACTGGGGTCCTTTGGTTGAATGTAGTCTGCAAAAACCTAGAGAGACAGATGATGGACATGCTGCTGGTCCTTCAAGTCCTGCATTTAGAGAACCTGTTGATTTGGGAGATGTCATTGGGAATAAGAGGAGCAACTTGTTAGAAGCAGCAAGGGGAAATGCATTATTTCAACCTCCCTGTGTTTCTCCTCACAGAGGAGGCTATTTGGACAAAGGCATACAAAAATGTGTGAATCACTTTGGATGCAGCGTGTAGCCCACCCATAAGCCCTTTGCAGGAATGCATGCGTCACACCGCACAGTCCGCAGAGGATGTGCAGTCACCAGGGTGGAATGTAAGCCCAGAATACGTCCAAAGGAAAAACCATTAGCCACTGCACAGACAGGAAGCTATGTACTAGAACCACCAGCTGGGCATCATATTCTGTGGGTGCTTCAGTTGTCAAGTTCAGCAAAGGTTGAGGGGTGCAGAGAGCACAGCTCCTTGTGTTTCTCTGGAGTTGGTCTCTTTGGGTGAAGATGGAACCATGTTATCGGGATACACAGAGGAAGCTTGTACTACTACTACTACTACTGCTCAGTTTCCCTGTAAGACTGGGAGCAAGCAGCTCTTACAGCACCAATTCACACTTACCTTTGCTATATCTTTTTGTCTTGTGAAATAGAGGAGCATATCCAGGTAAGTGTATAGTAGGATCTGGCAAAGGTCTAGGTCTCTGATTCTACCCAGTAAAATATCAAACACAGGAATCATGACCTCCCCAAACGTCCGTACTTCCTCATCCATCGTCAAGGCTTCTATCACCTCCTCCAGAAACTCGGTCATGTTTTCAAAGTCTGACAGGTGTAGTAAACAATAGGGCAAAGGAACAGAAATACACCACATAAACAGAGATATTTAAAGTAGCTTGGAAGACTGCATGAGTTGCTCATATTTCAGTAAGTCCGTATCTAGAAACTCCGGAGATGCTGGCTGCCTAGAGACAATTACATTACGAAGGGACAATTCCAAAGAAGAGTTGGCCAGGGATTTTCTGACGCACTATTTAAACCTGAGCCCCACATGCTTTTGGTAAACATCCTACCTGCTGGGCATCAGCTGTTCTAGACAGATTGCTGGGTTTTCTTCCACAAACATTTAAAAGGTCTTGACTGTGTGCAAGTTAGGCATAGGAATTTTTTTTTTTTAAACTTTCAAAATGTTTTTTTTTCAAGCTGGGAAAAGTCACTTCCCATCCATTTTTACTCCAGGCATTAGAGCCAGCTACTCTCACCAAGTACAGGAGATGTTTCCGTACCACTATCCTCTGCCCCAGCAGACATATAGATGCATCTTCAGGACAAAACCGCAGGGCAGGGGGTCAGACTCGATGACCTACTGCGGTCCCTTCCAACCCCAACATCTATGAAAAACAAGCTGAAGACACCTGAGTTTCTCCTCAATTTTTTTTTGGAACAGCAACAGCGTGAGACTGCAGAGGGCAGCAACTAGCCCATCCGCAGAAGCAGGTGTAGCTACAAACTTACCAGCCCCTCTCAGTGCTTCCAGCATCAGGTCCACCAGCTGCTCATACACATTCTGGTCAACATAGATCTCTGGGGTGAGAAGAACAGTCCGCGTGTTTGATACAGTCAGATCCCTGCAGCGAATCGCAAAGGGCAGCAAATTCTCTGGCACTTTGGTTATCTGCGTAGGAAGAGACATCGAGGCAGAGGAGAGTAACACCCTCTGATGCACACTGGGAGTCAGTGGCACCAGGGCTTGGTGAACAGTCTTCCTACCTGTTCAGCATGGGTCAGGAAGCTGGCAGAACATAATGCCACTGCCCCTTCCAGGAGCTGCCTACTTACCTCTTCCTTTGCTCTCTGGAAGCAGGCATACAGGTAACGCAGAATCTGCTTCTCTCCTGCATCTCTGTCTGCTGAAAGATTCTGTGTGCTGGCAGAGGTCATGTAAATCAGGTGATTTCCTGGCTCTTGGAGCAACAAGCGGGTGAACAGGGCCTAGGCACATAGTTAGAAATGCACTGAAAACAGTACAGTCCTGGTGGACTTGAAGTCACCAAACAGATACAGCCCCCATCACCCTAACGCACCTGATTCCTGCCCACAATTCTTCCCCTCCCTGCTGAGGAATTCAGGGAGCCGAGCGCTAGATATCTTCACCGAGATGAACCCAGCTCCCTTTACAGGGAGTCTGACAGTGGACAGTGGGAGGGCCAGATATTAGCACTAAGCATGTCTACTGTTAGAAGGGTGTTCTTACCCTTCAGGATGGGGACATAGTGAATTAAAAGTTAGAACAGAAGAGACCTTTGGCTCACTTCACCATATTCATCTGTACCATCCCCTGCCACCAGCTACACTGACAAGATTTCTACAGCCAATAGGGCGAGCCTCACATGACCCAACCCAGTGATTTCCAACGCGGGTGCCGCAGCACCCCAGGGTGCCTGGAGATCTTTTCAAGGGCGCCATGGAGCGCAACGCCACGTCAGCACTATGTGGTGTGCAAACACGCTTCGCAAGGTAACCCCCGAGTTTTCAAATAGCAATCCACAGTGTTAAAAACATTCTGGCCCCCTGCAGTGTGAATTCTGCTCTGTTATTTTTCTGTAGTCAAACAACAAGTGGAAACTAAGAGCTGGCATTTTCCGTGAGGTGCCTCGAGTCTAACAAGGTTGAGAGCCAGTGAAGTAACCACACAGTCTCCCCAAAGCTCTCACAAGGAGGAGGTCATTTCCAGTCCAGGTATCACATGCAATAGCAGTCCCACTATACCACTAGTGACCAGCTATGCAAGTAAAGGTAAACTCTGATATACTGCACAGGGAGCAAAGTTATTGTTGCTGTTTCAGTTACTGTTTCTTGACTCTGGCTGCTGTTTCCTTGCGCTCTCAATAAAGGAAACCAGTTCCCTTAAGGTTCAGTATATTAGTGAAAGCTGCAATCAGGATCAGAATGCCACCGTTCCCATTTGATAAGCAGATGCTTATACCCAAACCCACAGTACTATGCCTGGACACAAGGTGCGTTGTGTGCTTTCTGGTACCACTGCTTGCCCAACCAGATTACTAAAAGGCCTATCATTATTCCAATTTTAAAAAAAGCACTGAGCATGCTGTTTTTTCAGCAGCATACATCTGGATTAAATCTTTGTCTTGTAGCATTCATATTTTATGCAGAGCTCTTCTTTAAATGGAGATTATTAAAATATTTGAGGTTGGGGTTTTGAGACTGTTTTTCACTGGGCACTGCGTATATTCATTATATTGTCCATGGTTCTGCACTGTCAACACCAGCCTGAACAAGACAAATAGATCCACACATGGTAATACCTGCTCAACATTTTCCATGTCCAGCCAGTCTTGTTCATCCAGATCCGCAGCCATTTCCTCCAAGTACACACAGCGGGCTGGAATTCCATTGCCACTCTTCAGACTGGGATCACCTGTGGAAAACCAAACTTCCTTCAACCAAAATACCACGGAAATATGCCGAGGACAGTGAAAGCTGCTCTAAGGATCCTGATTACTCTAGAGAGCTATCCGCTGTGAGCAATGACCATCAAGTACCCTCCCTACCACACAGCTTCCAGTATATCTTTACACCTCCAGCAAAAACCTGTCTTTTCCAGACAAATGATTTTTGCACAACTGTTTAAAACAGGTTTCACTCTAAACACACAATATATTAGTTATCTTTTAAAGAACACATAAAAAAGCATAACCACCGTACACACTTGTATCACACAAATGAACAAAGCGAAACTCTACCATAAGAATCAGTATGGGCAAAATCCACTTGAACTGCTATATCCCAATGTTTGCTACATCCAAATCTGCTGGACAGCAAGTCTTACAATTCACAGCCATATACTGGAGCAAGAGCTTTGCTTTTCAAGAACCAAGCGAGCTCTACTAGGCAATTTATTGCCGTGCGGGTCCATCAATTTATCGTTGGCTCTAATGAGCACCACCACGGTTTCCACCTGCAGCCACAGTACGCTCAGAAAGGTACACTATTCTCTCCTGCCTTAGGAAAGGTCAAATTAATCATTCCAACGATCAAGAGAATCTCTTCCCATCTGATCCTTTCAGCTGAACTTCCACTCATCATTGCAAGTGAGGGACAAACAAAAGCACCCACCGTGGCTTTAGGAAAGTAGGATCTGAATGATGAATCAGCAGCATGGTCATGCCAAGCGGGAACAACCCACACTCCGGCCGGTCACTCCACGTTCTTCAGACACCCAAGCACGTGAGAAATGAATGTCAGGTTACCGACTTTTTGGGCAGGGCTGTGCCTCCTTCGTGTGCACGCTGTTGATAGCATAATGGGGCCCTGGCAGATGCTTGGGAGCACCTGGGATGAAGCTAACAGCAATCATACTGAGAAAAGCAGCACAGGACACACGCACCAGACTACAGGAGTTTGCACACGGTCATGCTTCTCGCCTGCCGGCGGACTGCCTACAGCACACTCCCCAGCCTAACTGCTTGCAACGCTGGTTGCTGCGCTAGCCAAACGAAGCTTGTCAGCCTGGGATTCTCATACATACAAAAGACTTCACTGAATCCCCACTCACTATTGTCAAGAGTGATGAGAAAGATCCTCTGGATCATGTGATTGATGTTGAGCTGTTCACACAGCTCCCGATGGGAGCGGAAGGAGCGGCTGATCTCGGCCACAGAGTAGTCGCAGTCGTCCAGACTCTCAGACACGCTGTTATCGGAGTCATCTTGGCTGATCGAGGTTTCATCTGTTCCAAAAGAGAAGCTCGTAAACAAACGTTGTGCTCCCGGTCCCAGGTAAAAAGCTAATCCTGTAAAGCAACGGCGAGGCTTTCAATTCACTGGAATGGAAGGTGCTGACACGGGAGCTTTACTGACGGCACGCTCGAGACTACTCCGGATCCGTGTCTCCATCGATATCAAACTACACTCGAGCTTATACTTCTATATGAGAAATCATGCTGCAGACCTCGTGGATTAACATTTGCTATTTGGCAGGCACTGAAAACATGCAATGACACTACTAGTCAAGAAAGACTCCTGGCTCTTACATCCACATGAGTTCACACTTCTCATTTTTCCCCGTCTGCAGTCGATCCCGACCCTCCCCAGAGCACGCCCAAGCCAGGGCCCGATAAACCTTACGGACATGTCTTTAGGAAAGAGCCGGTTCCCCTCCTTACCAGTGAGCTGCCTCAGCTGCTGCTTCTGGACTGCAGCAAACTGCTTGGCATCCGCTAGAGAGCTGAAGAGGGCCGCAAAGGGGTTACTTGAGATGCTGTTGTTATTCTCCTGGTCTGTCATTTCACTTTCTAGCGTGCTCCATGCAGATCTGGGGAGAGGGGCTGAAGAAAGGACAGGTATAAGAACCGTAACACAGGCGCTGGCCACAACAGTTGCAAGCCACGCTGTTTTAGGAAAAAAGGCAGTCTTTGAAAGGAGGATTGTTTTTGTAAGGAGGAATGCAAGTCTGAAAACAGTTTAGTTATAATCCCCCAAAACGCACTTCTACGAAAACGCTGCCTGCGCGACCGTCAGCACGGAGGGCTCGTCCCTGCTCGTTGCCTGGATGGACGTTGCCCAGTCCTAGCACCGCTCGTCAAACCGGCCCAAGCGAAACCGGTCAAAACAAGGGGCTCGTAAGCGGGGCCGAGGGGACGTCGCCCGCTTTCCCGAGGGGCCGGCGGCTGCTGGCCGGGGGGCGGGAGCCCGTCAGGAAACCAGCGCGTCTCGCTCTCGCCCTGCAGCTCGTCCTCGCTCGCGGACGGGCCCGGGGCTAGGCTCCCCCGGGCTGCCGGGCAGCCACAGCCA